CATCAATCGTGTTCTCCAAATGATAACTACTATGATATGTAATACCATAATTTGGATAAATCATCTCAAATATGCTAAAGTCATGATCCATTCGTCTCTCTACCTCTAGATGTTTATCCACATCGCTCTCACTCGACCCACCCTCTTCATCCTCCTCATCTTCAGCTACATCGGCTTCATTCCCAGGCAACCTAAGCCTGATTGAGCCTTTCATAAAACCATACCCATCGACACCCCATTCTTCTTTCGCTATGTCGACTAAAACCTCCCTCGATGGAGAAAAATTTGGTGTAGGAAGCACGACAGGTGTAACGGGGCATGGAGAAACCAAGGGTGTGATGGCTTCTGCTTTCTTTGCACGAATGAGAAACGATGTGGTGTTCCTCGGAGCAAAAGGGGGATAATTTACCACCATGATTGAATTTCTTCTTTGAAAAGTATCTTCTGGCCTTCCATCGATTTTGTTGCTGCAATTCCTTGAGTGTAGGAGGATTATAAGTTCCTCCACCACCAACATTGCTGTTGTTGATACTACTACCGCCACCCATAACTAGCAATTCCTTCCCATGAAAGAGGAGGAGGGTTTTAGGAATCGATCAAAAGAAGTAAGACTTTTTAAATTAATTTTTTTAAATGACATGTAAGCTATCCCGTGTGTAATAGGTTATCCTATGTGGCTTCCATGTCATTTTAAGTTTGATACGTCAACAAAGAAAAATCTGTTCAAAAGGTAACATGTAATCCAATGCTATAACAAGTAAATTTTTGAAAGTACAATGCCCTAATAAAAAATATTTTAAAAGTACATTGTTGTAATAAGAAAAGAACTAAAGACAGAATGCTATAATAAGGAAATTTGTAAAAATAGATTGTTATTTTCACGCATTTTACCCTTTATTTTATATCAGATTATAATTAATTAGTATATGTGTTTTCTTATAAATATTTTTAATTGTTATGATTTATTTTCTTTTCTTTCCTTTCCTTTCATATTTACAAGAAATTTTTTGGGATTCTTTTTCTCCCTCCAGAAATGTTCGAGAACAAGAGATATTTTTTCCAGTTCTTCTTACTTCACTCTTCTTTCTCTCTTTGAAAAAAAGGAGTCGAGAACACATCCTAATGACTTTGCCACTAATACGTTATGAATTTTAGAGCCAAAGTTGAGATATAATTTGAATAAGAATATTTATTAAAAATAATAATTATATATCTGAATCACTAACATAAACTAAATATCGGACAATTTTGTGTAATTAAATGATATATGTGGTGATTATAATGAAATCATATTTTATGTAATTGAATTTATAAGAGAATATGAAATTGTTAGTTAATTTATAACACAGGCTAGCAGCTGTGACATGCACACTCGTATAAGTTAACTAGAATCCGAAATCACTGGATGGCGCCATATGTTAGAGGTCAAGAGGGCCGCGTCCCCTTGAGGTCGAGTTCCAAGGGGCAACGTGAAAGCTCTGAAGATTTTATATAGAGAAATGCTCGGGAAAATCGATCTACTGAGTGTCCTAAGTGAAACTCTGTTCTGAGTTTTATCTAAAAGCTTTTACTTCTCAGGTGTTTCTGAGTTGCATCTGTGTAAGCAGTTTGTAACTGTTGTGCAGTTAGCTGCACGTTAATTATTCCAACAATTTTTTTATTTAGTATAGAACTGGTTACGATTTTTCTAAGTTTATTTTGTTAGAATCGCTACAAAAAATTAAAATTATCCTCAAGTTGGTTTCGTGATATTAATATAAGAAAAGAACGAAATACAAACATATATTTTCTTTTTGTGTATAAAGCTGGATTGAAGCTATAATGACTACATATAAGGTACAATAGCGTATTGCAATTTCAAGAGTCAAATGTAGACCGAGTTCTTTTTTTTGTTAAACTCAATTCAAATTACCAATTTACGATTACACCGGTTTTAGAGTAAGTTATGTTTTTAGTCCCCGTGGTTTGTTAAAAATTGTAGATTTCAGCTTTGTGGTTTCAAAATCATGGTTTTCATCCATATGGTTTGTAATTCATTTCTATTTTCGTTCTTGAGGCCAAAACGTTACTTTTAAGTATAAAAGAATAAAATAAAAATAGATTGTAAATCATAGAGACGGAAAAAACAATAAATTTTAAATCATAAGGATGAAAATGGTAATAAATTATAAACAATAGATATGAAAATTATAATTGCAAAATTAGAAATATGAAATTGAAAACGTAATTTACACTTAGTTTTAATTTAGATTATTTTGTAGTTTTATTATTAAAAACATATTTAAGATATTTAGTAAATTAAATCTTTTAATTAAAAGATAGGTAATAATTTTTGGTTAGAAAATTTAAGAACCACTCTTGTATGCAGCCACTCATGAGTACTAAAAATGAAAAATAGTTGCAAGGTGTTATTTATTTATTTATTATTATTATCTTCTTTTGATTTTCGTCCTTCTGGTTGAAGAAAGATTGTGATTTTCGTTCTTGTAGTTTTGAAGTTGAGATTTTCCTCTCTATAGTTTCTAATTTTTGAAGTCATCACATCATAACAAACATATATCAACTTGATCAAAACTCAGATTTTACATTCTGTTGATTATGTCACATTTATTCTGGTATACATCTTTTCTTGTTTTGCCACCATTATGCTAAAATACATCTCTTCTGATTATGTCACCCTTATATCAAAATACACTTTCTCCGGATTATGCCACCTTTATCTCAAAATACACTTCTCCGGATTATATCATTCTTATTCCAATCATTTGATATAATCATATCAAAATATCAAATTATGCTAAACATATGTAAAGAACCCTACAGTTTCAATTCAACACTGTAAGATGAAAGTTTGTAAATAAACTCACATTGAATGCATAGAGATATGTAGATATGATGATGAAAATCAATAACAAATATTTAGATTAAATTCACATAATCAACTACTTCCTTTCCTTCTTCGACTGCTTCAGTTTTTTTAAACTTAATGAATACACATGAAGTTTTCTCCTCTCTTTTTACCCACTAACTATCCCAATGAGATAAAATAACTTATCTCATAATAACAAACATAATCTAATAAGAGACGGTGGAGGTTTTAAATTATTTATGCATATTAACAAATCAACCCCCCTTAACTGGCGACATAAGTAGTCACACCACAGAACCTTCAGCGATATCGAAAATAGAACCTTCATCCTTATTCCAGTGTCAGCGATCAAATGAATATTTTTGAACAAGATTAGTTTTTGTCTTGTCCTTCTACACACAAAAGCCGAATCCATACCTCTCAAAGTAAAGTACTATACGGAGTCACTCTGCTATCTCCAAGCGTGCTTATCTACTTTGTGAAAGACTACTGTTTATATATGGCCAAAGATTGTATATCTGCAACAAAGAACAACCTCATCTCTTAAATATTGCCACGTGCTTTATACCTTTTGAATTGTATTTAATGCAATGTGTATAAATAGCTAAGTAGTTCTTTCTTCTCAGCAATATTCTCTAACCTCAATCCAAGCTTCCTTGCCTTGAAGATCTTACCCAAGAAGATACTCCTCCCTTTAACTCTTTATCTAAGAGAAAGATATCCACTCTAACAAGTAAAGAGCACAATACTTCTTAACCTATTTATTATAGCAAGTCTTTTCTTTATTGCTATCTGTAACTTGTGTGTTTCTTTGATTGTTTAGATAAGTTATGTATCTTATCTTTTTCGCAAATAATTTATAAAAATATGTATTGATCTCTTTTATCAATATATGTTTTTTTTAAAAGTGAAAGCTGTTGTGTTTGTATTCATCCCTCCCCTTCTACAAACGGTTACATATAAACTCTTGTAGATCCGGCTGGGACCAACAAGTGGTATCAGAGCAATGTTTGTTTTAGTGCTGTCTTGTTGTTTTATTGGCGTTTTATTATCTCTTCTTTCTAGATAATTTATTTACCTCTCAAATGGCTTTGCAAAACATAAGCACAAACTTTCACGATAATGGCTCTCTTGCCAAACCTTCCCGGTTCATCAGAGACAACTTCAATCTCTGGAAGAAGCGAATGTCTCTCTTCTTGGAATATGTGGATCCCGAGATTCCACACTACATTGAAAATGGACCTTATGTTCCATTTGAAGTTTCTCTACCAGTTCCTGCTACTGCTACAACTGTTGCAATTCCTGAACGATAGATTCCGAAGCTTTTTCATCAGTGGGGTGACAAAGACAAGAAAAAAATGACTTTAGATACCCATGCGAGATCTATAATAACCATGGCTCTTCCTGGCGAGGTTCTTCTTCTTCTTCTTCTTCTTCTTCTTCTTCTTCTTCTTCTTCTTCTTCTCCTTCTCCTTCTCCTTCT